TAGACTAAGAAAACAACCCCAGAACCACAGAAAAATGGCAGAGCCAAAGGGACTTCAGGATTCTGAGATCTAAGTCTGTGAATCGACCTTATCAGCTCATGTAACTCCCGTGGACGGTTCTTTTTTTTTTTAATTTTTTAATTTTTTTTGAGAGAGAGAGAGAGAGAGAGAGAGAGAGAGAGAGAGAGAGAGAATTTTTAATATTTATTTTTTAGTTCTCGGTGGACACAACATCTTTGTTGGTATGTGGTGCTGAGGATCGAACCCGGGCCGCACGCATGCCAGGCGAGCGCGCTACCGCTTGAGCCACATCTCCAGCTCCACCGTGGACGGTTCTTTCATAATAGTTGATAATGTTTATTGAGCACTTACTAGGCACCAGGCATTTTTTTTAAATACTCAGTGTCATTCATTCATGTTATGCTTCCAACAATTTTAAGTAAGTGCTATTATTCCCATTTTACTGATAAGAAAACAGAGGCTCAGAGAGGTGAAGTCGAGGCCACAGATCTATGAAATTGTCACCTGGCACATGAATCCCAGGAATCTGACTCTGGAGCCTGCGTTGCCACCCTCTGCTCTATATGGTGCAGTCTTGGTGTCTAAAGGTCAGCACTGGAATCCAGATCCTGGTGTCCTCCAGTCCCAGCCAGGATTTCCTCCATCTACTGAGCACCTGCTAATGCATCAAGGAAACTGGAGAGCAGGATCTTCTTCTTCCTAGACAGCATGGGTATATTTTCATGGTGGCCCTTGCATAGGGTCATCAGAATCCAGGCTTTCCATCAGCCAGCCACTGAGATGGTGAGGAGCCCTCTCCTCTGGCCACCCAGCACTGCACTCCTCTGCTGCTGCTGCCATCTCTGCGCCCAGGCCTCGCCTTCCCCATGACCTTAAACAGGAGCCAGAGACTCCTCCCACTACCAGAATCCAAAGAAGGCAAGAGAAATCTCCCCCATGGTAGGAGGCCACCTCTGGTTGGGAAAAGTCCTTCTAAAATCAGCTCAATAAAAATCAGGCAGTCATTGGTCTTTCCCAAAGGCTCTTCCTGACCTTGGGCAAGTCACTTGGTGACTTGAACTTCAATGATTCATTGTTTTCATCTCAAAAATGGGCTAGTAGCAGCAAGACCTAAATTAGAAAATGAAGTTTTGGTGTTTTTTTTTTTTTTTTTAAGTAGTCCCTACTTGCAACTATAATAGTCCTTCGCACACACCCCTCCAGTCGAGCGGGTCATTTTGGATCTCAGCAGGATTTATTTGAGTCCCATCTTCTCCCCTAGATCCATACCTACTAAGAACAGAAAGCCCGGGTGAATTGTCTGTCTCTGATCTCTGACTCTGTCACAAGTTAGATCCAAAGTTATACTGGTCTCCCCGGATGCAGAGACTCTGACATTTTGGAATCTGCCCTGGGAGAGAAGGCTGTGCGTTCAGAGGCCCTCAGGGGATACTGGGATCGACATGATTCATTCCTTGACTTGTGTCAATACATATGACACCTGGTGCCACAGAGCGAGCTCCAGCGGAGGAGTGTGTAGACAGCCTGGTTCTGATCCTGCTCTACCTCCCTTTCTCTGAACTCTTGTTTCCTCGTCTATAAAACAGGGTAACATAGGAGGCCCCAGGTCCCTCCAGCCTGACATTGTGTTTGAGGACTGACTTTTTTCTCAGATTTTCCCTGCTTCTTTCCCAAGGTTCCGAAACTCCCTCTTCGGGCCTCTTCCTTCTCCCTTTCTGTGGTCAAGGACCAGGGCTTTTCTTGCCCAGGACTCGCTGAGACCTGTTATTTTTGTAAGTGCCACCAGGGGGAGCCTTCTTTTGGCTGTGTGGGGTCAGGGAGGAAGACAGCTCAAGTGAAGGCTGGGGAGTCTTCCAGTCCCAAGGGGTCCCACCAAGACCCAGACTGAAATAGGAGATTGGAGGACCTTGGGGGGATCTTTGGGAGACAGATAAGCTACAAAGAGCACACTCTAAGCTCTTGAAGGACTGAGACCTTGCCTTATGTGTTAATTCTTGTCTCGTGCATGGTGGGGTTATCTTATTTGATATTCAGCCCTATTCATGAGTCATATAGGGCAGGTGGGATTACCTGTCACTGATAGTTAGGAGAACTGAGGGGCATCCAACCTAGGACAGATGTGCTGATGGCCCAAGTCTCTTAACTGCTGGCCCCGGTCTTGCTCTGTGCATCCTGGCCTCTCCCAGGGTCTTGGCACAGGCTGGTACACCAGAGACCTTCACAGACACTTCACCAATGAATGAGCCCTGTGGACGAGGCTGCAGCCTCCCTGGGTAAGGCTTCTCTGCTCTGTGCTGCTCCGCAGGTGCACAAAGCTTAGCCCCATAGTCTAGCCTTCCCTCATCTCTTACCATAGACTCACTCTCAAGGCAGAGGGAGACGTTCACTGGGTCCTATTTCCCTGTACAGATGAGGAAACTAAGGCCCAGGCAGGGCAAGTGATGAGCGAATTCCTTCAACAGAAGTGAGTGCCTCGTTGTGGGAAGTCCTGCTCTAGGGCTGAGACTGTTTTTTGGAGGGGGATGGGATACTGGGGATTGAACTCAGGGGCACTCGACCACTGAGCCATATCCCAGCCCTATTTTATATTTTATTTAGAGACAGGGTCTCACTGATTTGCTTAGCACCTCACTTTTGCTGAGGCTAGCTTTGAACTCCCAATTCTCCTGCCTCAGCCTCCTGAATCACTGGGATAACAGGCATGGGCCACCACCCCAGGCTAGAACTGAGACTCATTTCAAAGCCTCAGTCTTTATAGAATTTGCAATCTAGGAGAAAGAGATAGGCAAGATATGCAGCATGCCAGACAGCAAAAAATGCTACTGGGAGGCTGGGACTGGTGGTGCACACCTGTTATCCCAGTGACTTGCGAGGCTGAGGCAGGAGGATCACAAGTTAGAGACCAGTCTCAGCAATTTAATGAGGCCCTAAGCAACTTAGACCTTGTCTTCAAATTTTAAAAGAAATTTAAAAAGACCTAGGGATGTAGTTTCATACTCAAGCATCTCTGGGTTCAGTCCCCAGTATCCAAAAAGCTACTGGGCCAGGCAGGGGCCTCACATCTGTAATTCCAAAGACTCAGAAGGCTGAGTTGAGAGGATCAGATCACAAGTTTGAAGCCAGCTTCAGCAACTTAGTAAGACTCTGTCTTGGAAGAAAAAAATCAAAAGACCAGGGGATGTAACTCAGTGGTAAGGTGCCATTTGTTCAATTCCCAATATCCCTTTCCCCAAATACTACTGGGAAAAAGAAAGCAGGGCAAAGGAAATGGACCACCTGTGTGGGTAACAGGTGGGGTATTGGTCAGACAAAACTTCAAARCAGGATGGGCAGCACATCAGGGTGCTGGGGAAGGATTATTTCAAGCAGAGGGGACAGCAGGTCAAAGGCCCTGAGGCAGCAGTGTGTGGATCTGCCTGTGGAACAGTGAGGGGGCATTGTGGCCAGAGCAGAATGTGAGTGGCCGGGTAGGAGGGAAGGACAGGGAGGTGATGAGATCATTAGGGTCTGGTAAGGAACTGTTCCTGAGTGAGATGTACAGTCACTGGAGGATTCTAAACACATAAGAGGGACAAGATCTGACTTTAGTTTTAAAATGAAAACTCTGGGTGCTCTGTTCAGGGTGGACTAAGAAAAAAAGAGGTGGGGAAGGGACCAAGTTAGGTGTTGCAATGTCTCAGCAAGAAAAGATGGTGGCTTGGAACAGTGAGCTCAGTGGAGTGTGGTGAAGAAAAGCAACTTCTACACATATTTGGAAGGCAAAATAAGGTTTGCTAAGCATTCAGATGAGTTTTGGCAGGAAAAAAAAAAAGTTGAGAATAACCCCCAAGATTTTCTTCTGGAACAACTGGGAAGACAAGTTACCCTTTCCTGAAATGCAGGGGACTGACGGGTGCAGGACTGGGGATGGGGGGTTTGGGGGCCGGGCAAGGGTTTGAAATTTTGAAGTCATGCAAGCTGAATTTGAGATGCCTACTATGTGTTCAGGTGGAAAAAGGAAACTGGACTTAAAAGAAGGCAGGTCAGCAGAAATTAATGGTCGAGCTAAGAGAGCAAAACCGAAGCCTCCTGTCTTCCCACTCCCAATAGAGCCCTTTCCATAGTAAGGAGAGCACTCTTGGAGAAGAGTGTTGGAGAAGTTATTACCTGCGCTCAAAACCTAGGGCGCAAGAAGAGGAAATACGGTAACCCCCCGCGCATCGACCCGGGCTTGCCCAGCCCCAGGGCTAGAGGAGGTCGGAGCAGAGGGGCTGCGCCCGCCCGGAGGAGGCTGGCTATCTTGGGGAATTTGGGCGAGGCCCGAGGGGGCCAAAACCTCCGCAGTCATCCTGGGCGGAGCGAGAGCTGCTTGAGATTCGGGGCGGATCTCCACCGAGGTCTGGGTTTTTTCTCTCGGCAGCGGTCTTGACTCGTTTCCTGGAGCCACCGTCAGATATTTATTTAACCTCGCAGTTCAGCCTCCTGGGGGCCAGCAGAGAGGGATGGAGGCAGGGTGGAGAAGGCTGGTGGAGAAGGGGGGAGGGGAGAGAATCCTTTTCCTCCCCGTGATAGGCCCCGCTTGCCTAATTGCGTGTAGTCCCTCCCGGGGCACCCAGACATCCGGGGGTCAGCCAGCCCCTTGGATCCCAAGTGTCAGCATGAGGAGCCAGGAACCACGGAAGCCCACCCCGTCGATTTAAGAAGGAAGAAACCGAAGCGAGGAGTAATTTGCCCAGGACAACAGCGAGTCCTGGGTGGTGCCAAACTCCCGGTCTCAGGAGCCCCCCATTCCTTGTCTGCCAAATGWGCATTGGGGGCCGCGTGGTGCCAAGGCAGTGGGGTGACTTCAGATCTGCGCAAGCCAGCCTTGCGATGGGGCTCAGCACTTCACCTCTCTGTTCCTCAGTTTCTTAGTCTGTACAAAACTCTCGCCCTGCCTCCTTGTCTGGTTGCTGGACCAAAGAAAAGAAAAGAAAAGAAAAGTTACAGCTGCCAGTTGACAAACCCCAGTGAGCCTGGCACTGCCCCCAGTGCTGCTGCGCACCGGGCCTACCGGTGTCCTCCGAGGTTGGTAAACCTCCGCGGCTTCCCCAGCCTGGGAGGACGGGGCGGTTAGAGTGAGAGCTGGAAGGTGGAAGCCAGAATCCCAGGACAGAAAGGAACCCCGCACCACACGGCGGTGGTGCCCGCCCCCGGGCCCAGGGGTCAGTGAGGGGGCCACTGGAGGAGGGRTGGCAGGGGGGAGCGGAAGTCCCTGCTAGGAGGCCCCACTTCCCCTCCCCCCGGCCGGCCCCGGGGCAGGTGAAGAGGGGACCGGGCTCCGCTCCAGGTGGTGGGGCAGCGACGGGGGTGGGGAAAGGCCCGGCAACAATGGCACTTTTCTTTGGGACTGTTTGGTTCGAGCGGGTGGGCGGAGGGGGAGGAGGCGGCGGGGCGCGGGGAGGGGGCTGGTCAGCGGCATCTGGCTGCACACCTGCTCCTGCTTAACCCTGTGCGTGCTGGGGCGGGGCGCGCGGCGGCCGCGACTCTCCAACTACCCAAGAGGAGTCCCGGGCCGCAGGACAGCCGGCCCCGGGGTCCCCTGGCCGGGCCTGGCGGCCTCGGGGTACCGAGGAGTGGGGATCCCTGGCGGGAGCGTGCTCCGGCACCCCTGGCTGTGCCTCTCACCCTGCCCTGGCCCCTTGGAGGTGGCGCGGGCTTTCCAATCCGCCTCCAGTACTTCAGCTCCCTCCAGGCAGAAGAGGGAAGCCAGGGGTGGCTCGGGGCCTCGGCGCGGACTCCCCGCCGCCCTCGGGCCGTTCCGGGAAGCCGGCCTTCCGGAGGCGGCGCGGCGGCCACGGCCATGCCAAGGGCGCGGGGCGCGGGCCAGGYCCAGCGGGCGGCCGCCAGGCGGGGGAGCTAGCGCCGGGCGCGCCTCTCGMGCTAAACGCTTCCAGGCGCCTCGCTGCAGGTGAGCCCCGCGAGCAGCGCACCCCGCCCCGGGCCGCGCCGACGCCCCCTGCCGGTGGGGCGCCCGGAAGGCTCAGCCCCGCGCTGCACCTGCGAGCTCTGGGACCCCCGCCCACCGGCCGGCGCTGTCCTCCACCCTCACCCAAGGGCAGGCGCGCTGGCCCGTCGCACAATCGCAGCTTGTTTGTGGGCGGAGGAGCCGCGCCGGGTGCGGCGGCCCTGCGCCAGCCCACTGATCCCATAAAATATTATTTGTGTTTAAAAATTCCAGTAATTGGCTATGCAGCCGCTTTTTCCGAGCCCCGTGCCAAACGCAGTAAAAATCGCAGTCCGGCTGGGGTTATTTTCATCATGCAAATTCCCATTTCTGTAAACAGGGTTAAAACGCCTGGAAGGGGCCGGGCTGGGACTAGAGAAGAAAAGCAGAGGGATGTGTTCTCAGACTCTGAAGATGGTCAGACGGGTCTCTATTACTGTGATTTTTGCCTGGGTAATTGGGGAGAGTTATTCAGATAATTCCCCAGTCGCTTTCCCTTGAAGACCAGTGCCTGAATCCCATTTCCCTAACTTTCTCCTTCTCTTGCCCCATCTGAACAACTTATATCMTTAAATCATGGATTGCTAACTTTTATCTCCTCTTTTTGTTACGAAAGAAAACTGAAACCAGAGAAGGGAGACACTTGCCTAAGGTCACACAGCAAGTTGGTGTTAAAAGTCAGGGCAACACATAGACTGCCTGACTGCCCAGCTGACAGACCTCTGAAGGGCTTGGAAGAAGAGGAGGCTAGAGCAGGTGGCCAGCACAGGTAGTGGAGAAGCCAAGGCCTGACTCAGGTGCTGATTGTGGGCATAATAACTGGGGGAAGACTCCTCCCTCTCCAAACATCCCTCACTTCCTGTCCCTGGCTTGGAAAGGGGGAGGAGGGAGTCCCTCCCAGGCCCTTGGAAACCCTGAGTAATAGACAGGGGAGCCTCTGCCCTGCTCCACCCAGTGATGGCTGCTGTCTGCGGCAAGGAGCCTCTGAGAGGGGGAACCACACACGTGGGAGAGAGGGAGGGATTTTTTTTTTTTAAAGCAGAGACAGAAGAGGAGCCCAGATTCTGAAACTGGAAGGAGAGCTGGGATTCAGAAAAGAGTAAATAATGCTAAATTATTGGTCATACTGTATGTTCCCTAATTTATTATGGCTACGTTGTTTTGAGTGCCTACTATGTGCCAGGCACTCCTGTTGCCATCTGTCTCATTTATCTCTTGAAGCCTAGGAGGTGGTACTGATGTTATGCCCACTTTCCAGATGGAGATGCTGAGGTTTCAGGAGATGAAGTCACTTGTTGATCAGAGCAGCCTGCCGCAGTCTGGCTGGGCTCTCAGCAGTAGCCAATAAGGAAAGCCCTTTCTCTGGGGATTTCTGTGAAGAGGACATCTGTTGACTCAACAACCCCAAGTGTCCTATCCACCAAGCATCCTCCTGCCTCACCCCACTTCTCCCTGTTAGTCATGGGGGCATGTTATTTTTTTTCCCCCTGGATATTCCCCCACCCAGCTTCTTCAAACCCTAGAACCTTCCATTCCAGAGGCTGAGGGATTCCTGGATAGACCCTCAGTGATGCTGTGTTTAGACCACTCCTCAGGGTGGTAAAGAAAAGTGGGGTGTGGAGTTTAATGCAAAAAACCACYACCACCACAACAAACTCCTTTTCCAAAAGTATTTATATACTTTGTAGTGCCTCCTCCATGGGCATCCAAAACCATGCACACTCCCCAAAACAGGGGCGCAGGTTGTGGTTACATAAGAGAAAGGTGTTTCTAGGAGTTCAGGGTCATTTTACAGCTGAGCTGCCCGTCACTCGCAGTATGTGGACACAGGCCGGAAGCTCCCTATCMAGTAGTGATGGCAAACGGGTTCCAACTCCCCCCTTGGCCTTCTGGCTCAGAAATCAATTCTAACCCAGAACTCCAGCTCCATGSCTATACCAACAGAGGGCCTCACTGCAGTCCAGTGGAATTCAGGTGGGGTAGAAGTGTTTGTCCATCTCTGAATGGAAATGCTGTCCAGGTAGAGAACATCGGGGAAGGAAGAAGGACCCTCAACTGGGCCAGGTGGTGGGGGGAGCTTCTGGGATGGGGAGAAATATCCTTCAGGATGGAGTCCTTGTTGAGAAGGTGAAAAGAAAATAAAAAAGAGAGTCTRGAGAACTCTAACCTGGGGAAGTGTAAAAGCAAGCGGGTACCAGGAATCCCAAAGGCCTGGCCAGCATCCCGAGAGATCCCACCCCTGCTTAGGGCTCCTCTCAGCCCTCTCCCCCTGGATCTCCTATCTTCAGCCTTACTTGRGCTCCAGGGGAGTCTCCACCTCCCAGCACTGCATACAGAGTCACCTCCAGGGCCTGGACTTGAGTTTGGGGATCCTAACACCCTCCTGCCCAGAGTCGTCATGAGAATTAAGAAGTGGGGTGACAGCCTAACCCCTCAGAGAAGGAGAGGGTTCCCACCCACCCCCCATGAGCTCAGGGTTCTGATGGTGAGAGGCTCCGTGTCACAGAGGAAACTTGGGTATGGGGTGAATTCCCCGAGAGTTCACCCAGGCCAGGTTATGTGACAACACAATGGCTCCTTGGTGTGTGTGACCTACGTGGATGATGTCACAATGGTTTTAAGGTGTGGCTGGCATCTTTCAGCTCAGTTATTTTTGGACCTTGAAGGACTAAGAGGCGAAACCTCTTTCCTCACCATCCCCTCCCCTTGTCCCACTCCACCCCAGAAAGGGTAGGATAGGATGGTGGGGGTGGGGGCCTGTGGCCTTTCTTCCACTCAGCAATGAATTTGGACCTCCTCTCAAGGAGGGACATGATCAGAGATGACCATAGTYCCAACCTGTAAGGAAACACCAGAGAGAAAGATGTATAGAAGCCAGGTGTGGGTGGCACACACCTSTAATCCTAGTGACTCAGGGGGCTGAGGCAGTRGGATCACAAGTTCAAGGCTAACCTGGGCAACTTAGTGAGACCCTGTCTCAAAAGATAAAAAGGGCTGGGGATGTAGCTCAGTGGTAGAGCACCCCTGGGTTCAGTCAAGTACCACCAATAAGAACAATGGTACAGTAAGCATGCCTTACATACCAGGTACAAACTATGTGGTCGCCGCCATCAGAGAGGAGCAAGGGGCTAAGGGGACCTAAGCAAAGAATTTTTCAAGGTGAAGAATGGTCCAGGCTTTGAGTGGGCTTTGAATAACTGGTAGGATTTTTATCAGGCAGAGAGGGGAGTGGCAGAGAGGGGGTGGTGGGAACAGCATTGAAGCAGGCTGGAATAGAAAGATCTACAGCAGGAGTCTGGGATGAGGTGGGTAGCTGGGAGATGGGGGCCCTGACTYGTCCCCAAAAATCTCAGGATCTCTTCTCAATCGCTGTCCTGGTCTGAGGTCCCCCTCTTATCTCACCTTTTTTTTAAGAGAAAAGAAGTGTGTACTCCAACTTCAAATCTGTGTCCAAGATCTCACCAGAGGAGGACATTTGGCACAACGAAGAGGAGGAGGAGGAGGAGGAAGAGGAAGAGGAAGAAATGGGGTATGTGGGCCTCTGCCTTGTCTACTGTCTCTATCACTGGCTCCTGCCCAGTGCCCAGCTCTCCTCTCTGTCCACTTCATGCCCATCTCTRTCTCGACGGCTCCTCCATCTCCTTCTGCTCCCTGACCCCGAGCTTCCTTCCCCTTTTGCTCAGGATCAAGACACTCCTCTCAGTGCCCAGGCAGGAGTCGGTGTGGGGGCTGGTGGCCTGGCCCAGGGCCTCTCTGGAGCAGAATCCTTGGTGGGAAGACCTGAATTTCTCCCTGCCCCCGCTCCCTGGGCCCTGTGAGTGCAACCTGGGGGCAAAGGTGACCCTCGTCCCCCAGCCCTCCCAGGCCTCCAGCTCCACCCTTCAAACCTTGCCCTACTTGTCATCCAAGTTGGAACCCACTTCTCTGGGGGACCAGCCTCAGAAAGAGCCTTCTCCGTCAGCTTCCCACAAGAAGACCCCCAAGATCAGGAGGAGGCATCAGCGCAAGGCCAGGCGCCAGGCCTCCCCTAAGAAATCCACTGCCTCCCAGGCCCTGCGACAGCTAGCTCCAATGTCAGTGTGGCCTCCGATTATTATCAAAGCCCCCGCCAAGAGTTCAGCTCTCCAAAGTGGCCATGAGCCCTTTGCCAAAGAGGACTCCCACTCCTCAGGTACTGGTGACCACCCCTTGCCCCAGCTTTCTCCCAAATAAATATTTTTGTTAGATCAGCAATGGTCTATGACTTCTTTCTGTCCCCAGATAGAGGAAAGACAATTCTTGGCGCTTTCACATGCATTCTTATTTCATTTCATCTTCACGATAATCAAAAAAAAAAAAAAAAAAAAAGAAAGATTGAAAACACGTTTGATTTTGTAGATGAGGAAACTGAAATTCAGAGGAGTAGAGTTACTTTCCAAGGTGGCACAGGAAAGATCTGACCTCGCATCTGAGTCTGAAGCCTGTGTCCCTTCCTCCGAGCTCCAAGATATCATTCTGGAGGCAGGCCCATGATAATCCACTGGACCGGGCCAAGGAACTTGCAAGATCTTGCAGTTCCATCAATTGAACCCACCTTAGCAGGTCAGCTTTCCTTTGAAGACTTGGGGCCAACTCTCCCCCTGTCCCCACACTGAAACTTCATCCCCTCTCCATAGCATGATCCTCCCCCAAAAGTTCCTGCCCAAGACCTGTACCAGGCATGAATTCCATCCTCTCCTTCAAAATTCAGTACATATGTGTGCTTTGTGACAAACTGGAAATCTAAACATTCACTCGATATTAAAGACTATTTTAGCAGGGTGTGGTGGTGCACACCTGGAATCCCAGCAGCTCAGGAGGCTGAGACAGGAGGAGCGTGAGTTCAAAGCCAGCCTCAGCAATTTAGAGAGGCCCAGAGCAACTCAGTGAGACCCTGTCTCTAAACAAAATATAAAAAAGAGCTGGGGATGTGGCTCCGTGGTTAAGCACCCCTGGCTTCAATCCCTGGTACCAAAATAAATAAAGACAATTACAAAATAATAGACCTTTCTTTAGGATGTTTTAGGTTTACATAAAATTTGAGAGAATAGCACAGAGAGTTCCCATGTACCCCCTGTACCCAGTCTTCCCCATTATTGGTGTCTTTCATTATTAGTATGGCAGCCTTGTTACAACAGAGGAACTAATATGGACACATTATTATTATTAACTAAAGCCCCTGGGTAACTCAGCTTACCTTAGTTTATACCTAATGCCCTTTTGCTGTGTCTGGATTCCATCTAGGAGACCACATTGCTTTTAGTTTCGCATCTCCTTAAGCTCCTGTTGGTTGTGACCGTTTCTTAAGACATGCCTTGTTTTTTTATGACCTTGGCAATTTCGAGGCATGCTGGTCAGGTATTTCCTAAAGTGTGTCCCTCTATTGGGATTTGGYATTTTTCTAATGATTAGACTAGGGTGGTGGGTTGGAGGAAGGAGGATCACAGAGGCCAAGTGTCATTTAATAGGGTGGATGCTATCCAYGTGACTTATGACAGTTGATATTGACCTTGATCACCTGGCTGAGGTAGAGTTTGTCAGTTCCTCCACTGGAAAGCCAAGGTCCCCTCATCCCTGCCGCATTCTTTGGGGGGGGTGTCACCATGCACAGTCCACATATGCACAGTGGGGTGCTGTCCCCACCTCCTGTGGCAGAAGAGTCTACGTAAATCATTTGGATTTCTTCTTCTCAGAGAGTTCTCCTTTCTCCCCATTTATTGATTTATTCAATTATTTATATCAGTATGGATTCAGGGATATTTATCTTCTTCTTTGGGTCATAATTTAATATTTATTTTGTTGCTCAAATTGTTCTAGCTTTGGCCATTGGGAGTTATTTTATTTGGCTCCTGTGTCCCTTGACATGTCCCCAGTGATTTGAGTTACTTGATTTTTGCTTTTATTTTATATTTTATATTTATTTTACAATTTGGAGATTGAGGAGGCTGGGGATATGGCTCATGTGGTAGAGTGCTTGCCTCATATGCAAAAGGCTCTGGGTTCAATCCTCAGCACTACTGGGGAAAAAAAAAAAAAATGGAGGATTGAACCCAGGCTACACTTCAGCCCTTTTTATTTTTTATTTTAAGACAGAGTTTCACTAAGTTGCTGAGGCTGGCCTCAAATTTGTGGTCCCCCTGCTTCAGCCTCCCTAGTTGCTGGGATTACAGGCATGAGCCATTGTGTCCTGCTGCCATTATTTTGGTGGGTGGGGTACTAGGGATTGAACTCAGGGGCACTCAACCACTGAGCCCCATCCCYAGCYCYATTTTGCATTTTATCTAGAGACAGGGTCTCTCTGAGYTGCTTAGCGCCTCAATTTTGCTGAAGCTAGTTTTKAACTCACATTCCTCCTGCCTCAGCCTCCTGAGTGCTGGGATTACAAGCATGCACCACCGAAACTGGCTATTATTTAAAAGAGTCTATCTCTGCTCACTGCCAGCCGGAGGACAGGGCATCTCCTCATAGCCAGGAACCTCACAGAACTTCCTATCTGGAGGTGCTGGACATGGGAAAGGGAGAAACAGCTCCACCCRAGGGCTCAAGGGCCAGATCCTATGCCGGGCATTTCCACAGATGCAGATTCAAGCTGCTTCTCCTCATGAGGGTCTTAGGAAATAGGCACGGGCTCTCACCTGAGTTGACAGATGAGGAAACTGAGCTAAGAGAGGCAGAAAACRCCCACTCACCCTGCGGCTCCCATCAGGCCGATGGGAGCCCCTCTGAGCACATCCTGGGGAGGCTGCCGGGGCCACCACTCTGCAGCTCGCCCCCTTACCGCCTCTCCTGCCGCCTCACTCCATCCTGYGAGCTGTTGGATTCAGCCGGTGGAGGAAAGGGCGAGGATGGCTGGGAGAGAGAAGTGGTGTGTTCGCTCCCCAGGGGCCTCCCAAAAGAAGCCGTGCAGGTTTAGCAGCTGCTGAGCTCCCCCCATGGAACAAAGGTGGCGGTCCCCTGGGCCACCCTCTCCCCTGACCCTGGGACCAGCCAGGTACTACAGCTGTACCTGCATCCCCGCAGCACATGCTCCTCAGGACCCCCGGTGGTACCCTTCTCAACCAGGGCTGTGCTCTGCTGCAATTTCCAGCTTCTGCCTGCTGGAGCAGTGGTCTCACCTCTTGCAGTTTCTGCGGCTCAACACCAATCCTTTCCTATGCCTCCTTCTGGCTTCCCTGACTCCAACATTCTCACATCCTCATCTGTCTGTGTGTCCATCCCTCCAAGTCCACACGGCACCTCTGTGTGTGGCCGGGGGCGGGGCGAGGGAGGTACTCTACCACTGAGCGAGGGTCTGGCTAAGTTGCTGAAGCTGGTCTGGAATTTGMGATCCTCCTGCCTCAGCCTCCCCAGTCACCRGGTTTCCAGCCTGGCTCGTCTCTCCCTCCCGGTCTGTCTCTGGTCTGCTCTGTCCTCGTGGACACTATCTTTGCCTTTTTCTTCTCCTTGGTGGGTTCTTYCTTCCAGTCCCCGTTTGATGCTGACTGTGAGAGTCCCTCTGGTCTCTCTCTTGATCCTGGGGATTGCCTCGGCCCATGGCTTTCTCATGACTCAGCAGAAGGCACTGTGACATCTGGGGGCTGTGGCACCTGCCTGTCATCCCAGCAACTCAGGCGGCTGAGGCAGGAGGATCCCAAGTTCAAGACCAGCCTTAGCAACTTAGTGACCCTGTCTCAAAAAATAAAAAGGGTTGGGGGTATAGCTCAGTGATAAAGCTCCCCTGGGTCCCCATTCCAAAAAAAAAAAAAAGGTTCCCAGCCAGAAACCTAATTCAGTTCACCCCCAGTTGGCGCAAATGAAGAGACTTAAAGAAAGGCTTGTTTCTGGAGTTGGGGAGGAACTGGAGATGGCCAGGCCCTGGACGTTAACCCCCTGGAGGCCACCCCACCCAGACAGGGCCAGGGAAGCAMGGGAGCTTTGGCGGTCAGGGAAGGCTGAGCCCTGCAGCCACCCCTGGGGCTCAGTCCTCTGCCCTCCAGCCCCCAGGCTCACGCCATTGGCCACATCCACAGGAAGCAGAGTGGTGGCCTCCCTGGGCACAGAGCAGCAGAGAAGGGTGAGGAACAGGCCCAACGGGTAAGGGATACACAAGGTAACCAGCCCTGAGCCGGGGACCTCCAGGACAGGCCCCACGCCTGTCCTGAACCCTGCAGAGCACCTGTCTCTGAGCAGCTGAGAAGCCTCAGCCCTCTCCTTCCTGTCAGGGCACACATTTCCCAGAACTCAGTGAGAAGATGCTACCACCCCTGGTCCTTCTGCTCCCAGGCAATCCCTGCTTTGCCGCTATTTTAGTTAGGATTAGGTGTTCGCAAGTGTCAGAAAAACCAATGTAGCAGTTATTTATAAATATAAAAGTTTATTTCTCTCACATTCAGAAACCCCATCTAATAAGCCAGACAAAGGGGCACACACCTGTGATCCCAGCAGCTTAGGAGATGGAGGGAGGAGGATCTCAAGTTCCAGGCCAGCCTTGGTAGCTTAGGCAGATAAAAAGACTGGGGGGTGTATTTCAGAGGTAGAGAACCCCTGGATTCAACCCCCCAGTGCCAAAAARGAAAGAAAGAAAGAGAGGGAGGGAAGAAGGGAGGGAGAGAAGATCCCATATGTAGGAAGCTCCAAGTTGGGTAGGTAGATTCCAAGTTTTCAGAATTCCAGGCTCCTCCTTTTCTTCAGTACATGGTTTCCTGTACCTCATGATGCAATAGCACTGCTCCAGTTCCAGCCCTCACACCTACATTACCTAGTCAACAGCGAAAAGAAACCTTAGTGGGGCTAGGAAGCAGGAAGGAATTTTGGATTGTGCAGAGGGGAGTAACGGGAGGGGAGGGGTGTGGGGATGGGAAGGACAGTGGAATCAGACAGACATGATTACCCTATATACAGGTATGATTACACTGCTGGTGTGACTCTGCACCTTGTTCAGCAAGGGGAAGCAGTTGTGCTCCGTTTGTGTACAATGTGTCAAAATGCATTCTTCTGTCCTGTGTAATTAATTAGAACCAATTAAAACACTTTAAAAAAAGAAAGAAACCTTAAAAGATTCTCTTTGCATTCAGTGTTATCTAGAAGCTCCACACTCCCACTGACAGGTGATCTCGGGTCAGAACCCTGTCTCATGACCAGGCAGCACTGCAGAGGACTCAGGGAGACCTAGTTTTATTCCAAGGGGGAACCTGCGCAGTGACAGACTGCATGGTTCCATGACTAAGAGGATGACAGTGGATGGGGGATGGACAACTGCCGCTGTAGGATCCGAGGTATTGAAGAGGGTCCTGGCAACCAAGTGTTTAAAAAGAAGAGACCCAGTTTGACCTCTGACCCTCCCCTTCCCGGGGAGCCTCCCCAGGAGGTCTGCCCAGCAGCTTCAGTTAGGCGGAGCTTCCTTCCTGCTGCTGCAACCGCGGGGGACACACACTTCAGAAACCACCCCGAGGTGGCCAAGACCTCCAGCTCTTTTTCTGTGCTTCCTCTCTCCTCTCCTCAGCAGCGTTGGACACCATGTAGCCTTCTTCCCTCCAAAAGCTGCCCGACCTTCTCCTGGCCTCTCCCCCGCACCCCACCTGCCCCTTCCCCCAGTCGCGATTGCTGGCTCCAGCTCAGTCGCTCTCCTCTCCCTTCTTCATGCGCCCCTTTCTCAGGTGGTCTCATCCCCAGGACCATGGATTTAAAGACCCTCTACTGCTTAAGACCTTAAAAATTTACCTCCCACGCGCTGCTCTTCGTTTCTCCAGCTGTTCACCACCTGTCCCCACAGACATCTCAAAGGTGAGAGGACCCGGCAGAGTTCCGCCTTCCTCCCCCAGCTCCTCCCCCAGGTCTTCCCCCTCAGGAAGTGGCACCCACATCTGCCTCAACTCCCCAGCCCCAAGCCTAGGTGCCCCTTTGATTCCTCCCTTCACATCACGCTCATCTCCAACCCATCAATCAGCCAGCCCTGCTGG